CCGGGGCCCTCCGCCCCGCCCGTTGGCGGGAACCACTGGGACAAGAACGGGTGAGAACCGCGGTCGGGGCGTCGAGGCTCGGCAGGCCCTTACTCCCTAAAAAGCACTGGTTAGTGCAGAACCGGCGTCCAGGAAGAACATGGTTCCGAAACATTCGTGCGGCTTAGCCCTCGCGGGCGCGCCGGCCGAACCGTGTCCCCCGCTGCCTCAGGTGGTGCCGTCCGACCGCCCCGAGCGAACGGGAGGGCCTCCCGCGGCCCAGAGCCCCGCCCAGGCCCCGCCCCCTGAAGGCCCCACCAGACCCGAGTGCCCGGGGCAGGGCGTCCCGCCTCTGCGGCGCGCAGCTTTGCTCGGGCCACTGTGGCAGAGATCTTGCGTGGACTCAGGATGGACGCTGTGTGCGGGCTCTTGAGCTGCTGGAGCACGGCAGAGAATGAGCCCCCATCCCCGTCCCCTGCAGCCCAGGGGAGGGAGACAGTAAGCCAAGAACACTGTAGAGAATCAGCTGTAGGGTGTGGGTGAAGGTGATTTGTGCTCCCACAAAAAGACTGCGGAGTGGGCTGGGGGCTCGGAGCCAGAGCTTCGCCTAGCTCGTGCGAGGCCCTGGATTCGTTCCTCAGCACCACATAAAAATAAATAAAATAGGGCTAGGGTTGTGGCTCAGAGATGGAGCGCTCGCCTAGCACATGAGAGGTCCTAGGTTTGAACTTCAGCACCACATAAAAATAAATAAATAAAATAAAGGTATTGTGTCCAACTACAACTAAAAAATTGAGTATTTAAAAAAAGACTGTAGGGCCGGGTGTGGTGGCACACTGGGGTGCTGCACAGGTGACTGGCCCTGGCTTATGGACCCCTCAGGCCTCTGCATAAAAGCAAGCCAGGTGCAGGGCCACTGCGGGACGGGGACCCCATCCAGGACAGGACCACTGGTTTGGAAGGAATGGCTCCTGGTAGATGTGGTAGAAGACAGCTGTGAATGCCATGGAAGGGAAAGGGAAAGGAAGACTGAGGGCAGGGAGATGAGAATGTATTCAGGGGAGGGAGTAAGCTGGGGGAGTCCTGTGGGTACCGGACAGTGCAGAGGAGATGTTGAGAGGGCAAAGGCTGCGCTGCAGGTAAAATAGGGTGGTGGGGGAATAGATCTAGAACCACAGGCTTCCAACATTAAGAGGTCCAGAGTCCTCAAAAGAGACCAATAAATAAATAAGTAAATAAACATTTCAAGGGTGGTGGGAATGGAGGACTGACAGAAGCAGGAGAGAGTCTGTAACCAGGAGAAACAGGCACTTGGATCAAGGAGAGAGTCCTTGGGGGAGTGAGATGGAGGTTGCTGGCCCCCATATCCCAGAACAGCAGCACAGCAGTGCTGGGGGCAGGGGCTGACCAGAGGATAAAGGGAATGATAAAACAGCACAATGAGCAG